GCCTCACTTTTTCTTTCTAGCGATTGATCTCAACCGTTGGATCTTGATCCAACGCTCTAGCTCTGCCTTCTATTAAACTTCTTCCTCCGGTCGACCCGACCCTGCAACCCCCTCCCCCCCATGCCACCCACCGCCCCGCCATGGCGTTGTAGGATCTCGCCGGAGCACCGTGTCCGCGGTGGCCTCCTCCTTCCCTCCCACTCCCACCGCCGCCATGGCCATCCTTGCCCCTGCCCCGACCTGGCCCGGCCGTCTCCACCGCTGCCGGGGGCCCTAAATCGCCCTATCGCTGTTCCCATCGCCTGGCCAGCCTTCCTCCCCTAGAACCCCCTTCTATGCCCGCCCGTGATGGAGAAGAGAGGGAGAGTCAGAGAGACAGGGCACGCAGGGAGATGGCGCGGGCGCGGTGGCGCGTCGCTTGAAAGTCCTCCAGATTTCAGGCGACTAAAATCTAGGAGGTGTGTGGAAATAAAGTCTAGAAAGAAGAGCTTTGCAAAGATTGATTTCGCCTTCCAAGGGCGGTGCTCAAATTTTGATGCTTTCATGTCCTTGCTAGAAGCTCTTAGTAGGAAGACATGTTTGGTTTTTAGAGCCTCCTGATGACATCGGTTTTCTCCTTCTGCAGTCACCTCGTCATTTCCACCGAGTGGGCGGACGGCGGCGGCGCTAGCGGTGCAGCAACCAAGGCTACCTCCGTCCTGTAGCATCCCCCGCCACCACATTCCAGGCCTGTTTTTCCTCATGCACTCCCATGCCGCAGCCCCCGCCGCCTCATCCCTCTATGCCGCGACCTGCGATGCTAGCCTCAGCAAGAGCCGAGAGCCCGAGACGATGGGCCTCACCTTTGGGCAGTGCAATCCATCCCTGTCGCTGGCACCAGCGCCTTTGACGCATTCAAAGGTCAACTCCTCAACCTTGCGCAGCTTCTTCTCGACTCTCGAGTACATCATTGGGGTCTCTGCCCTCCGCTACGGTGCCCCCGCGATGCTCAAGGAGCTACGACTGTTCAATCATCCAGTCTTAGTTGTGATCTTGCATAGCACAGGAGCACTCTTTGATGCAGGCTATTCACTCAAGTGCTTTCAGTTGGATATCAAGTCTCCCTTTGATGCAAAAATTAAGGAGTAGATGATTTGGAAAGAGAAGTACAAACAAAAGAACACAGAAAAGGCATTCCTTTTGGATCTTGCTTACAAGGTTTTGGTTGATAGACAGGTTACAAGTTTTTGGTTCATAGACAAGTAAATAAAACTGGAACAAGCATTCTATGCTTTGATGAGTTACAGATATCATCAAGACGTTGAAATGTGAAGGCTAAGAGTCTTTTTTGCTTTCTTTTCATCCTGAGCGGACTAGGAGGATTGGTAATTCTTTCATAGCACTTAGTAGCTTTGCTTATTGGATTGGGGATTGCTAGCGCCTGGACGCCGGTGCCAGTACATCGTTTCCCACACCTACACCCGGTACGCCCACGCGGGGCCCGCACCACCCAGACCGCACGCGCCGCTCGGCCGATCGAAAACACGCAGAGACCGCTCGACGCTCGTGCCTCAGATGCTTTCCACGCGCTTGCAGCGCGAGGACCGCTCGTGCCTCATACGCTTTCCAACGCTCTAGCAGTTGCGGCAAGCGGCTGCGGCAGGTGGTCCCATTGCAACATGTGTAACACCTGATTTACTTTTGCAACATCAAGATGAAACACTTCAACATACGTCCGAAACAGTTGAAACACTTGCAACATACGTCTGAAACATTTGCAGAACACCTGAAACACTTGAAAGCCATTGCAAACGCATGCAACATCCACATAAAACCCTTGCAACATACGTATGAAACACCTGAAATACTTGAAACATACGCTCGCAACATGCATGTTATGCAACATCCAGATATACTTCTGCAACATCCAGATGAAATACTTGAAACATACGTCCGAAATACTTGAAACACTTGAAACATATACTTGCAACATACGTATATAGCCATTGCAATATACGCAACATGCAGATGAAACACTTGAAAACAACTTCTGAAACGCTTGAAACATGGCGTTGGCGGCAGCTATGGCCTACCTGGTAGGGAACTGCGGTTGCCAGCAAGCGGTGCTTGGGGTGCAGTGGAGAGGGAGGATGGCGGCAGGCAAGCGGCTGGGCACGGTAAAGAATGTGACGCCGGAGCAGTCGTTGTGGACCACGTCGCGTCGGCTCGGAGAACTCGGCGGCGAGTGGTGAGTGGCGGTTGGGAGACAGGAAGGCAGGCGGCGACGCTCGAGCACAGTGCAGCACGCCGCTGCATTGCGGGCACGGCGGTGCGGGCGCGGTAGCACGGTCGCGGTGGAGCACGCGGCGGCGATGCGGGCCCAGAGAGTGGGTTCGAGAATGGATGTGGGCATAACGTCGATTCGAGAGGAAGGTAAGAGCGGCAATTTTTTATTTTTATTTCCGTGTAGATGGCAGTATTGCCTGTTGGGCCATTCGGACGGATGTCGAGGCCCACCAACTCACGTCCTGAAGAAACGGAAGCCCTACAGACAACATTTCCGGATTTTGTTGACACAGCAAGCATAGTGATTCGTTTTTGAACACTCTCGTCGTTGGTTTTTGCCTCAATTCATTGTGCAGGCAAACTTAATTACCAAACTGCTTTAAGATCTGTTCAAAGTTTTTTAAGGGACCAGGGACCAGGGACCACGGGAGCCAAAAAAAAATCCCTTCGTTGGAGCCTTCAAGCTTATGCTTGATGGACATTAAGAGTCTGTTTGGAACTGCTCTGCTCCACCTTTTGTAGCTCTGCTCCTAAACTTTTCTGCCAAACAGGTCTAACTCCACAAACTCTGCTCCCAAAAAAAGATAGAGTTTTGGTCCATCTCCATGTTTTTCACGGAGCTCCTCAGAGGATACTCCACAAACCATCGTTTCGTATGTCCTCGTGAAGTTGGAAGTAATTACCCGCAATTGCCACTCGTTACACAAATACCGTTTCGTTCTATTTCCTCCCGTCGCCCCCACCCGACGCCCTCATCCTCCTCTACTCCCGTCGCCTCTCTCCTCTCTGTGAGCCACGACTCCGCCAGAGGAGATCCCGTAAAATGATCTTGCTTACCACCGGCCAAGAGGGCGCCACGACGGAGGAGATCCCATGACACCGAGACTCTCGCCAGCCACCGCGACTCCATGGAAGAGGAGATCCATGACCTTATGTTGGCCGCCGCCGCCGGAGGAGAGGAGCTCCTGCCACCGCGACTCAGCCGGGAGGAGGAAATCTGCTCGCCCTCCCCTTCCATCATGAAGCCGGATCGCATCCTCCGAAATGCCATCACGCGCACCGGATTACCTTGGTGCGTTGCTTTCAACAGCAAGCGCCTCCTCAGCGTAGGACCGATTACATCATGGGCCCAAGCAAATGAGGCTACCATGGACGAGGAGCGGGAACTCGTTGAGCAATGCAGGCGCTTGGAGGTGCAGGTGAGGAACAGTGGGGTGGACCAGTTTCTTCTCTGAACATACGCGTTGAGTTCAGTTTAGCCTCTGAATGTCTTGTCACTTTGATTGCTTGCTGATTATTATTCTAGCAATCTATTGATTTATTTACCTATTGTGATTGATGCGTGAGTCGATGGCTGCACAATAGTGATGAACTGATGACTAATTGATGCGTGAGTCGAACGTGCAAATAATTACTAATAAAGCATAAAATATGTCAGGGGCATAAATGGTTATACCCACCAAAACCTCCGATTACTGGAGCCGGATTGGAGCTACAAGCCAAACAGGCACATCTGCTCTATGAACTCCATACTAGAGCTGCTCTATGGTGAAGTTAATAAAGCAGAGCTACAAAAGGTAGAGCAGAGCAGTCCTAAACACGCCCTAAAGTTGGACTGAAGAGGGGGGCTGTTGTACTTGGCGTGATTGTATTATGGGCTCGTCGTGGCATGGTTTCGCCCTCTGTCCTAAGTCGTCGTTTGTCGCTGACTTTCGGCCCATGGCCTGGAACGTACGCCGCAACTCGAAGACGGACCGTAAAACATATTTTTACAATATATATATGATTCGATTTGGTCATTTCATTAGCTTTAATGTAACATGTATCTAACCAAGGGGAGGACCCACCGGTGGGAGCCAACTCAAATTGTGAACCTGCAGTTAAAATTCAGGTCCAAATTTGTGGTAAGCACAGTGTCTAGTAAAGTTGCAATGGATCATCACTAGTCATGGACCATCAAAACTCATCCTCTCCCACAGAACCACTCTATGCCGCGGCACGATCTGAAGGATCTGTTTTCTACAATTTGATGTTGTCACAGTAAATACTCGGTGCCTCTAATAGACATATAGTATCACATTTTGTAAAACTGCGACACGTCGAAGCTTTGATGCTTATCTGGATGCCTGTTGATCGCTATGTAAGTCTCGCACTCTGTCTAATTCTGAAGAGGTTTCCATGATCTTAAGAGGTATAGTGTTTTGCTAGAACCTGTTAACAGCGATACAATCACAATTTAATGAAACATCTGGAAAATTGGATTGGCCATATCGGGAACACATCAAGCATAGTTGTGCGGTTGTGCCCTTGAGTTAGTGGAGGATCTATGGATATGAACACTCAAAATAGATAACCCTTGGGCCACATAAAAAGCCGATGTCTGCTCTGCAGAGCACGAATATCAGCACTCAAAATAGCTACAACATGTTTAATAATGCAAAAACATGTTTAACACTGAACATGTTTAATACTGCTCTTAAGGAAAAACAATGACAAAGCTTAGCCATTCTACGCAATATCAGCACTGCATATCTGAACTGGCTGCTGCTCCATTTCACGGCTCTCTTGCAAAGATTCCAGGTGGACTTCATTCTTTACAGCCTGCGGATGCAAAACAAAGCCATCTAAGTTAGAGCCAAAGAGCACAAGCTTGTAGCTAATCTACCTTGATCATTCAAATCCCTACTAGTAGAAAAATGTTTCACCTGTATAGCATGCATGTAATCACAGAACCATTAAGGACCAAACGTGATTCTCTGCACAAGATCAGGCCTTCTCTTGCTTGGCATACGAACAAGGCCAGTGATTTGCATCTCAGTAACAGCTCTGCAAAACCTTGCTTGGATCATACCTTCACCCTCTGGAGGCGTGGCTTTTGATTTCTTCTTCGAGGGAGAACTGTAAGATTTCCGTTTGGCTTTTGAATTTGAGCTCTTGATAATGCCTTCAAAGGCCGTGTACCAATCATGAAGGTTAATCACATCACCATATTCTTGGGCTAGGTTGCACATGATTGATGTGTCATGCAACGATCCTGACACAGCAGCACCACTCCTGCAACAAGAGCATTTCAGATGGCTCTGTGACTTCAGAAGATCAAGTTGAATCATTCTTCTTGGATTTCCAATCAGCGCAGATTGAAGAATGTCAACATTCTTGAAGCAGATGATTTCATGAAAAGGTAAGGACTCAACAGGTACCAAATATTTCCTAATAACATCCTGTAATAGCACAGCCACTTTCTCATTTAGTACAACTGTTCCATTTCCAGTACTGGCGGTTGATCTCCTTTTGACCCTAACACTATCGGCACCAATTGTGGTTGACTGAAGCTCCTTCACTCTGTCGTTGATCTCACTCATTCCTTTTAAATGGATGCTCCAAACTTCAAGGACATGTAACAAAACTTCCATAGGCAAGTACCTTATTGTATTCATTACTTGGGCTATAAATCCTTTAGCAGACCCTGACTTTACCCCTAATAAGTTTTCACAAGTCACTTTAGAGGCAAATAGGTAACTATCTGGTGCATTTTCAGTTTGCAAATCTGGGTTGACTGCCTCACAGAAGATATCCAAAAGTTGCACTTTGTCATGTATTCCAGCTTCATACAGGCACAAGAGAACAGAACTCCAATCCTTTTGCAATTTCAGCAGCCTAGACAATCCTTCTAACATGTTGCAAGAATTGTTTGAATTATTTGCATTTTTGGACGAGGGTAGATCAAAAGCATATTTCCGTATTGCTTGAGGGAGTGATTCAAACTTATCATGCCAAAATTCCTCAGAATCTTCCTCCAGCATTCCTATGCACAAAAAGCTTAGAGGTTCCATGGAGAAGTGCTTACTGCATGCAAGCCTGAGAGCAGTAATAAAAGAAGTTATTGTCCCATCATGCCTAAAAAAGTAATTTTTGAGGAACAGTGCGACTTCATGACTGATGCAAAATCCAGCGCATGGTTTAACAAGGATGGCCTCAACAAGTGCGTTCAATCTATCTGAGGGAGACCCCAAGGTAAGTTTGCAGGGCTCTAATCGTTGAAGGGCCTCTGATGAGAGAAGCTTCTTTGGAGCATCAAGGGTAGTTGCTATCCCCATTACAAAGAAGACTGGAATTTTAAACACCCATTCACTCAGCATCATCACAAGCTCTCCCAGCACATCACCAGAACATTGCTCCAGATCATCAATTATGACAATGATAGGCTGATCAAAGTTCTCAGCTTCACAATACCATGATGCAAGCGCAGATACATCAGCAACATCTGAAACATCGGATAGTAGCTGCCTCAACAGGCTCCTAAAGCAACCACCAACTCCATGTTTTGCTGATAATTCAGCTGCTGACAGCTTGACTACATGACATCCATTGGACTTCATATGCTCTGCGAGATCATGGAACGTTGTGATATCATCAACAAACTCTGCATTCTTGGTGAGGACAAATGCCGTTGGGATCCTTCTGCAGATCACATCAGTCAGGAGAGGGTATGGCTGCTGGACTTCAGTTTGGTGCGGTTTCGTGATGGCACGGACCGAGGCAAAGGACTCCTTTGCCCACTGCAGCACCTGGTCGAACAGCTTGAGGTTGATGGCTCTGAGGACCTCATCGATGGTGGACTGGATCTTGGACCAGGTCCGGTGGAAGGCCTCAACACGCAGCTGCTCATATAGCTCCAAATCCCCTTCGTCCTCACACTCCTCACCCGCTGGCTGACGACATCTGTTTGCTGATTTGGGGTTGGGTGAGGATGGCTGTGAGGTCTGAATCCGGCGCTTAGCCCGGGAAGATGGCACCGAGGAGGCAGCAGCCTTGTGAAGGACAAGAAATGGCTGGATGTTGTTGGCAGCAGTGGGCAGGGTGTCACAGGGTGCCGCTGACATGGCTGATTTGACTGGAGGAGGAGTCGGTGACTGCTGCTGCAGCGGCGGTTGGCGGGGGTAGCTTAGGGAGGAATATCTGCCAAATTAGTGCAGATTTGGTGCATTCAAGCCTCCTGTCTTCACCTCATCAGCAATGCCACCTCGATGTGCATAATCTGTAAATGCAGATAAAAATAAGGGACACACAACTAAAATAATTACTGAGCATACATGTGTAATCTGAATGTATTGGTTCTCTTCAGTTTGCAACCCTGATAAAGATGCAGTAACATTGATTTAGGATTATGGTTAATCCAAGTGAATTCTAGGTGCCAAGACTGTAAATGTTCGTTAGATCAAAGTGTCAGCTGCTGTTGAAAGCTTGAAAAATAACGTTGTAAGACTACAAGTGATTTCTAGGCGATTAATGAGGGAAAAAATTACCTGGCAAGATGCTCGGCTCCTTCCTGCCTGCTTGCTCCTCCACGCCCTCGCCTCCTAGGGTATGGACGGCACGGTTGCGGTGCGAACGATGGCGCGGAGGAGGGGGATTACAGGCACCTGGGGGAAAGAGCGGCGGTGGCCGGGCGACGGGCGGAGCGGGCAGCGACCGTGTGGGCGAGGTCGCTAGGAGGCGGAGGCGGAACCGCAACCCGCAGAGTTGGAGAGGACCGAGGACCGCGAAGCGGGAGGAGGGAGCGGCGCCCGGCGGGTGCCACGCCGATTTGCTTCTGCCAGGTGTTGAGATTCGCCGGCGGCGGCCGTGCTGCCCTAGTGCTCTTCGCGAGCGAATGAACCGCCGCCGCCACTTAGTAGGGCCCGCTTGCCAGCCCGAGAGGGAGCGCGTCAAGATTCGTGCCACGCCAACCGTTGATACAGTGGGCCCTACAAGTCGGTGTCCCAATTCCGTGTCCAAGGACGTCCAGCACTCCACTCCCTTGGTCTAACCCCAAAACCCTTTCCTCCCCAACGAACCGGCGGCGGCGGCGCGAGGGCTTCGCTTGCTGCCATGGCTCTCGTCGCCGGCTCCTACGAGCGCTTCATCTGGGGCTTCTCCCTCAAAACCCTGACCTCCCCCTCCGCCACAGCCACCGGCGCCGGCGCCTCGCCCTCCGAGACGCTCACCCTCGCGCCGCTCTTCTCGTACTCGGCCCACACGGGCCCGGTCCGCTGCGTGGCCGCGGCGCCGCGGGCGGGGCTGGCGGCGTCCGGCTGCGCGGACGACTCCGTCCGCCTCTACGACCTCCCCTCCGCCGCGGACCTCGGCCCGCTGCTGGACCCCTCGGCCGCCGTCTCCGCGCTCGCCTTCTACTCCCGGGGCCCCGTGCCGCGGAACCTCCTGGCCGCCTGCGACGACGGCGCGCTCCTCCTCTACGACGCCGACGGCTTCGCGCTGCTCGCCACGCTCCGCGCCTTCCCGCGCCACGAGGCCGTCGAGGGGCTCGCCGTGCACCCGTCGGGCCGCGTCGCGCTCGCCGTCGGCCGCGCGGGGGCGCTCGCCATGCTCAACCTCGTCCGTGGCCGCCGCAGCTTCGCTTGCCGCCTCGAGCGCCCCGCGTCCGCGGTCGCCTACGCCGAGGACAGGGACGGCGGGGACCGGTTCGTCATGGCTGCTGAGGAGAAGGTCAGCGTGCACGACTCCGTGGATGCCAGGGTTATTCATCAGATGGACTGCGGCAGGAGGGTGCTCGCCATGGCGCCCGCAAAGGTACCACCATTGCCTGGGCATCATGTTGAATTGGTCATGGAATGTTTAGGATTCAATTATTATTAAATGTGGATTACCGTGAGGAGCTGATAAATTGTTGAAAGCTATCTTCTTGTTGAAATGTCGATGGCAAATTCAGCTTGCATCAGCCTTGTAACATGCTGAATTGACAATTTGACATCTAGGTGCAGGCTCATATTTTTAGAAGCTGTCTAGCCAATAACCGTTTGTTTTAGCCCCTTCCAACAACCAGATTTTTCCCATCCACTTACACCGCCGTATAACTATATTTACACCGCCTTATTACTATATTTACAATGATTTCTTCAGTGTAATTTATTGGACAAAGTGATGTAATTTGGGAATAACACAAATATATGCCAAATTTTTCAAAAAAAATTTACAGATTCTTTCTATGGATTCCAGACATCAGAGAAATATATGTCAAATTGTTCACAAATTTCAGAAAAAAATACAAATTGTTCCAAATTACAGTGGGACCCACACTCCCAACCTCATCCCTTCCCTTCCCTTGATCCCTCCCATCGGAACAACCAGCGACAACACTGGGGCTCTGCGTCATCAATCGGCATGCAGAACGATGGTAATTGCCGTCACGGGTTCTTCTCGTCAGGAAATAATGGGCGGTAAGTCGTGGCGGCAATTGTGTTGAAGAAAAAATACAGAGGGAGGCCGAGTTCTTGGAGGCGGTGGAGCACAGAGCTTTCTTGGAGGGTGGGCGGTGGCATGAGCGATGGCGGAGGGGGCAGCGGATCGCGAACCGAGAGCGAGATCGATATTATAAATCCGGTTGTTTGGAAGCTCCAAAACAAGCTGGTTGTTGAGGAGATAATTGAATTTTTCCATTATGAAACGTGGGCTTCGTTCGCTTGCCATTCCGTAAAAGGGATTCGCTTGCTTGCCATTATGAAACCGGACACACACTCATCGGGAATGCCCTTTTATCCGCCCACCATGCCAAAGATGACCGTTTTGCCCTCGCTTCTTCTTCAACGGCAGAAGATGGAGGCGACGTTCTTCGAAGCTTCACGACGCAAAGTCTGCGATGTGCTTTCGGCGAACGGCAAGACATGTGAGGAAGAGAGTACGGCTCACCGTCCGCCGCGGTGACGCGCGCACCCTACGTCCCGCCGGGGCACGCCGAGGCGGTGCTCGGGGATCTCTCCCGCCGACATGGCGTCCCTAGACACCCGCCCCGGCGACCAGATGGCGAAAGCAGATCGCGCTCGTCGTTCTTCAGCGGAGACAATGACGCCCCCCTCGTCATTGTCCTAGAATGTCGCCGTTCACGCCATGCAATGTCGCTGCGTCGCGCCGTAGGTTCGAGTCAAGGCCACCGCCACCGCGCCCATCCGGCGCTTGACTCGCTTTCGGCATCCGGACGCTCTCCGCCTTTCTCTTGAGATCGCCGGACGGCGGCGGCAGCTCGCAGGTCGACAACCATGGGACACTATTCATGTCATTGGGTTAGCCGCTGCGCCCGTCCGGCCTCCAAGATGCCCTCGCTCTCGTGGCGGTGGACCTCATCGGATGTCTCGGACGGAGTCCGGGAGGAGGCTCAGGGTGGTCATGACGTCCGGTGCTTGATCCTGCTCCTGCCATGAAAGGTGGGAGCCTCCTCAAAGCTTAAGCACAGCCCTGGGTTGCTATTGCTATTGCTAGAGGTGGTTGCATTTGCATTGCACGGAGACGAGTCGGTTGGTTCCATCTGCGATCATGCGAGTGAACCCTCAGCTGGCAGAGTCGGCTCCATTTCCTCTTCAGCTCCATCAGATCATCCTGCATCAATCAAACGATGCGAAAAATGCCCTTGAATATGAATGACATCATTACTATTCAGAGAACAGATTCTTCCTAAATTTTCATCAGCACTTGCTAGTGTGTGTGTGTGCGCGCGCACGTGTGTTCTGTTTATTACTGAATGTACCTTGTGCGACGTCTGGGGCTCGTCTGCCTGCGGCCAGCCAGGGAAGAAGGTCAGCGCGAGATTGGTGCCTGCTGCCTTTGCTCTCACAACCGATGCTTCATTTTCGTAACAAAGACAGCAGACAGCAGACAGCCTAGCCGTCAGCCGGGCTGCTAAGACAGCAGACAGCAAGAACAGATGCAACTATTACGCTTCAGTGTTGCATATACTGTAGTATTTTTCATAACAAAGACGAAACAGTAGTCGGCAAGATTTATAGTAGTAGTAGTAGGATAAATATGAGTTGCGCATGCAATCAGATTGTTTGCATTGGAGATTCCGATTCCTGCTAAGGAAATGAAAAATGAGAACATGTCCTCCTAATAGCCACCACTACTCCAGTTTTCTGATTATTTCAGGCTAGTATGTCTGTCTACTCTAATGGATGGCCAAGCATACCAAAGTGAATGGTTTCAGGGATATCCTCAGTCCAAACTCCAAACAGAAGGGACCAAACCAAAAGAGAGCAGGACAGGACAGCCGACAGCAACACATCAGTCACAGCAAAGTGAATCAAAACAAAAGCAAAGCGTACTGTACGAAACAAACAACAGTAGTAGGAGTAAAATAAACAACAGGTTTGTCACCTTGCAGTTGCAGCGCGAGGGCCGAGCTCCAGGTCGAGGCCGCCGCCAGCGCCAGCAGGGACGGACACCGGCTGCAGGTCCCACGTCACCTCCAAGGACGACCGCTGGCAACGCATGAAAGTGCCGTAGCTCGCTGCCACCACCAGCTCGGGCGCGCCGCTGCGTGCCGTTGCGGCGCTGGGCGTTGGAGGCGGAGCTCGCCGAAAGCGGCGGGCGGCGAAGCAAGGGCCAGGTGCGCAGCGGGGCTGAAGCTGCAGGCGTCGTCGTTGCTGCTATCGACGGCCCAGCGCATGTCGCCGACGTAGATGACGAGGCCTGCACCAGTGCAGGTCGGCCGCCCACGCGTCCACGTCAGCGCGGGTCATGAGCCGGACGTGGACGTGGAAGAAGCAGGGGCAAAACGGTCATGCTGGCATGGTGGACGGATAAAAGGGCATTCCAGCGAGTGTGTCCAGTTTCATAATAGTAAACGAGCGAATCCCTTTTGCGGGATGGCAAACGAGCAAAGCCCACGTTTCATAATGGCAAAATTCCAATTATCTCCTGGTTGAGCGTTAGCAAATCTGTATTTTTATTATTGACTTGGCGAGTATATTAGGATGGAAATTGTTGAAATTTATCATCTCCTCAAATGCAATTCAGCTTTCATCAGCTTTTTGGTTGCCCATGCCATGCTGAATTGACATCTAGGTGCAGCTTCATATTATTGTTATGACTTTATGAGTGAATTAGCATGCGTATTGTTGAAATTTGTTGTCTTCTCGAATGCAACTTCAGTTTTCATCAGATTTTCAATTGACCATGCATGCTAAATTGACATCTCGGTGCAGCTCCACATTATGACTCTAGAGTTTAGACACTCATTATTTCCTGATATGTGTACTATGTATATATATTCAGATGTCAGCTTAGATGCTCCATGTGACCATGTATTAGCTCTTCAGATTCATTTATCTCCACTACCTTATTGTCTTCCCACTGATGCCTCTATTACCTTTTGCACTTTGCTCACATGTTTTTTTTTTTGTGATTTTTTCAGAATGGAGTCCTTTACACTGGAGGCGAGGACCGTTGTGTTACTGCTTGGGATCTGTCCAGCGGCAAGGTCTCCTCACGCATTGAGGGTGCTCATGCAACTCGTGTAAAAGGGGTTGTTGTTTTCGATAATCGCAAGGGTGGATCAGAGCTCTCCAATATAATTGCTTCTGCTTCGTCTGATGGTGTCATAAGGATATGGGACATTCGGACAATTGGGAATGGAAAGCCTACTCCATTAGCAGAGGCTAATACAAAAGCAAGGCTAACTTGTCTTGCTGGAACGTCACTGAAATGTAAGTCACAGAAACTTCATAATGTAGTGAGTATGTACACTGTCCTAACAAGTCATCATTATAGCATAGATGTAAATAATCATGTCGTATAAACATGCCTTGAGTTAGTTTTCACAGACAAATTACAGGGCAATGTTAAATCTAGATTTTCATATCCTGATCTTCACTGAGAAAATATGTTCAGTTGATCTGTCAATATCCTCATTTATATTCACTGTCTCATTGCTGCTCTTTCCATTATGTTAACAGTATTCTTTTGCTTGTGTATTGAAAGAATAATATGATATATTGTTGTCTTATGAGATTTTGTAGTTTATCATTGAGGATCTATTTTATATGTTAAGAAGCATCAGTTCACATGTATTAGTGGTTTTTATTTAAGATTATTAGGACAATAAAAGTTTCTTCTCCATTTAATAACATGTTATCTTCTATTGTTGCCTAACAATGTTTGGTGCCTATTTGAGATCTTATGGTGTACACAAAGTCCATGATCCTTTTTATTCAACTAACTTTTGTTTTCCATGTATAATAGTTTTTCTTTCTTGACCTGTTATGTATAATGTGTTAATTCATTTGTTAAGTACCCTGTTGATTATCCTCACATAATATGGCCCTGATGATTTACAGGAGACCAAGGAACCTACAAGTGGAGTGAATGGTTGAAGCAATTTTTTGACAAGGGGCTAGGCGTCTGATTTTGCATTGTTTAAGTTAGCTGAATTAGAAAACCTGGACATCAAAGAAGAATTGCAGATGAAAGATCTGGCAAGCAAGCATTTTGGGTGCATTTGAAATGTATGATAGTCGCCCATTATACACCAACTTAGTTTGGCTTGAGTGCGTGAACTGCAAAACTCATTATGAGATTGTGTTATTTGATTGTACAAGTTTTGCAATTAGAACCATTTTCAGTACACTGTGCATCACCTACGGGATGAGTTCTCTGTCAAAAGGGTCATCTAATCTATGACAAGTTTTGCAGTGAGAATCATTTCCAGTATTAAATGTGCAATTTACATCACTTGCCATGAGTTTTGCAGTGGCCATTACAGGATGAGATCTCTGTTTAAAAAAGGGTCATCGAGGCACCTACTACTGCACAAAAAAAACACACACGCCATTGCTAATTTTCTTCACGCATTGGGAAAGCTCTGTCTGATAGTAATCCTCCAAAGATAAATCAGCATAAGAGATCGCTATGAACACTAACAAAGTGGTTCACCGAAAGTTGGAACATTGTAAACCTGATCGGAGACGCAGCAATTCGTTGAGTTCTCTCACAATACGTGAGAACTCACAAACTCAATCAAACGACACCTAAATTTTGTACAACCAACCTAAAAAAAACCTAAATTTTCACAGGTTTCTTTTAAGAATAGAGCTGCTGCGATCTCCTGGTCAGAAGTTGTTCCTGAGGCTCGTCCCGGTGTTCCACCCCCGCTCCTTGTCCCTGTTCCGCTGCACCCTCTGCCCACCGCCGCTCACCGGCACTCGCCGTGCAACCCTGCGTGCGTTGTCAGTCCCCTGGGCGGCAGCAGCACCGGCTTTCTTCCCTGCCTGCGCCGCCAAAGATGGCCTGATGACTACCTTCTTCTGTAGGCTTCGCCGCAGGATGCTATTGATCCTCTTGCTCCTGCTGCCCTTGTCGATGGAGACAACCGGAGGAGAGCACAGCGGGGGCGAGGACAGGTTCTCCGTGATCTTGTCAAGCGGCGATGGTGCTGCTGCTGCTGCAGGCTTTGCTGTGGGCATTGGCAGCAGCGAGTTGCGCCGTGGAGGCGGTATCAGAGACTTCCGGCGCGAAGCCGGGTTCAGCGGCTGCTGGTAAGCTCCACCGTTGCAGAGTGAGACTCGTCTCGCTTTCATTGTCGGCGGCAGCTGCACAGCTTCAGGGTTGTTCTCCTTCTCGTCCCCTAGTGACATCAGCTGCTTGAAGCTGTAAGTGTCAACGTTGCTGTCAGAGAACATCTGCTTGGAAATGCCGAAGTCTTTAGGTGCTGCTGCTTTCTCTGCTGTGGAGTTGAGGTTCCTCTCGGCCATTGGGCTTCTCAGGTACGAGTTCTCTTCTTTCATGCCGTACTGCTTCTGCAGATGGTCTTGAGCAATCTTGTTGTCGACATGCTGCCGTGCTATCTTTCTTTCAACTAGAAGTTGTGATTCCAGCTCTTTGATCTACAAAAGGTTTGGAAGTAGCAATAAGCATGTCAATTTTTATTCTGATTCCAATTTTCCCATGCACACTCCATCATTCACCACATCACATTTCGCAAAAGCGTGATATATAAGAAGACAAAATTATATCATCCATTTTCTTGATTAACCAGTCTAATTGATATTTTAATTAGCATTTAATTGGTTGTAACAGTTGCATGATCTGGTTGGTCTAGTCAATCAATTTAGCCAACAAGGTGCACCACTCACAATTGAAAAAAATGTGTACATGACATATTCCATATGACACGAATTGAACTTAATTTTGTGCGCTAGTGCCAACTATCGTCGTTCGTTGTCACATATTCCACATTTTACGTTACATATGAAAATGTTAAGTTCTGTTAAGTTGCATCTGAGAAAAGTTTGCAACATAAATTGTGTATGCTTTGCAATGAGATGTTGGATCCGTGCTTAACATTAGCTACTAGGCAATAATTCATTAGAAATCATAGACATGTGACATTGGCAAAAGCATCAGGATCAGATACATGTGTACCCATTCAAAATACATTGTTTCCTTTTTTGCTTAGTTTCCAAATAGAAAAACAAGAAATAAATACTAAATTGTCATGGATGACCTATTACCTTCCAAGATAATATATTATCTACTTTAGTCTAGCCATTTAATCAAGTAAAATGAGAGATCTTTATTAGTCTACTAGAAGTACCTTAACATTTGCCTATAAGTGAACAAGTATACCATCACTGAAGGAATAACAGTCCTGAACCATACTAGTTTGAAGGTGACATCCAAGCATTGGCTATATGACAGCAAAAGCAAGTCCTAAGCATACTTATTTGGCATCCAAGCATTGGCATTATTAACATCCAGAACATTATACATAATAGTGACAACTATCACACACAGAGCATGCATGTATAACAACAATTTTATAATATGTAGAAAATTATTGTTCTTGGTCAATGATTATATATAGGAAAAGTTAATAACAAGAATAATTTAATGTAATGGCAATTAACAACTAAATATATCCGGATATACCTTCTCTTGGAGATACAGAGTGAGCAAATCTTTTGTCTTATTCTTCGCTTCAAGTGTTTGTATCCTTTCTTCCATACTTTTAATCTGAGCATCTTTGTTCTTGCTATCCTGTTTGGCTCTCCCAACCTAGCAGAACCAATAGCGAGTTATATTTGAGTAAACTTCAAAATTTACAGCACAAATGCACATACATATATTGACATAATGCTAAAATACCATGAGCTTGTATCTTGACAATTCACCAACATCGACTTGCTTTTTAGCTTGACCAAGCTCTATGCCTCGTACTCTACTTGCAAAGTTCAACGAACAAAGAGTTTCACCCACGTCATTCTCATTAGGACTGATTTGAACAAACATCAAAGTTTTGGAATCTCCACCTGTATTGTTTAAACATTGCATTATAAAACTAATTTAAAGTATAAGATTATACCATTCCATAAAAGAAAAAAGACTACATACTTAGTGAGTCTTGTAGCAAGTGTGTTAGCTTCGAATTCCTGTAATTAAAACAACAATTGTTGATAAGTGGTCATAATTTATGTTACCAAGACTAAAATTTAAGTAAAGGATTCAAATTTAAATACCTAAAGGGTATATGTGGGGTCTTCGTTGCAAGAGCAGATATGACATCACCAAGTGCAAAAAGTGATTTGTTTATGTTCTGTGCCTCTTTCAATCTTTCTCCTTGTGCATCTGTCTTTGTTACCCGTTCACTTCCAGCAAGGTCAATTAGCCATAATTTGCTCTTTGTACATTCTCCATTCATCAAGTTTTCTCCTTTGACCATTACACAATGTATACTGAAATTAAGAATCAATTAGCACATAATTTATGATCTATGGAATAGCATAAGTGAACAAAATATCTTTGGGACAAAGTACCAACCAGTGAGATCGACTACTATGCTCATTAGCATTTGTGGAACCCACGACTCTAGCTTTGCTGCCAGTTTGTAGCACCTCCCAAGCCTCATTCATGTTAGTCACCCGTGCTTCAACAAGTCCTGGTACATGGTGAACCCCTTCTGCAACTTGTCTTACTTCCAGTCTGCAAAAAAGATACAATCTCATAACGGGATTTATATTAGTATATACAGTAATATAGATCATGAGTTAAATCGAACCTTTTTGTTGTTGCGCCTGGCTGAGATCCTGTAAGTAGCAAATCATGAATCTGCTCATTGTACACCTCCAAAACACTGACAGTAATCTCATATTGGAATGTGCCCTCTCTTTCTTTAATTATTCGAAAGAGTTCTTCTAGAGTCCGGTAGTTAACACCGCGAGCACCTTCAATTCCTTCCATGGTAAATGTTTTACCAGTACCGGTTTGCCCATAAGCAAAGATGCAAACATTAAATCCATCCAACACCGAAATTGCATATGGCGCAGTTTTCTCAAAAACCTTTTCTGTTTACATAAGTTGAATAAAAAATTATTGTTAAAAGCATGAATAGTCACGTCAATACAAAACCTGAGCCATAATGCGATACAAGGTAAGTGAATGCATTTGTATGAGTTACCTTGGTCTTCTTCAGGGCTAAAGACAGAATCAAATTTGTATACTTTTTTAGAAGATACATGACCCCTAACAATGAGTTCTCCATCTTTTGCAGAGTCAAAATCAATGGCTGACGAAGCTCCTTCTGCTATTTCTTCTGCATTAAGTGGTCGGCACCGACAAAATACTCTTATATTGCCTAAGCAACATGCAAATCACTGTTAGTTTTGTCACCACTATAATCTGCAATAAAAATTTGCAAGATGAAAACAAAGTAAAACAACAAACCCTTTAGCTCTATAATCTTGTTGTATAAATCTTTCCGCTCCTTTGCCTCTTCATTAAACTTTTCTTTAAGATCTTTAAACTCGCATTCCAAACTTACATATTGATTCACTGTTCAAAATGGGCATATCATGGTTATAGTCATTTAGTTTATAGGAAGCAAATACAAACAAAAATATTAATAATGAAGATATTTTAAGACTTAACCATCACAAACATACCATATTGCTGAATTGTTGTGGACATTTGTGAAGCATCTAACACACATTTTTTGTACTCAAGTGACTCTTGTCTTAGATTCTGGTGCTCCGACTTTAAAACCTTCATAAGATTGTAGTTAATGTCAGACCACATATGAGATAAAGTAATCAGACCTCTTATATATGAGATAAAGTTCAAGGCAAGTGTGTAAAATGTTTTTTGAGCCGAATACCATAAATTTTTCGCTCAATTCTTTTAATAATTGACACAAACGACTCTTCTCCTTCACTTGCCCTTCCACTGCAGAGGCTGCATGAACAACAAAAATTGTAAACAAAACCGCTTCCGATAAAAACAAGGAAGCCTGAGCATGCACGACATTGTTTGATGACAAATCCAGTGAACTGAACATGTGCGCTTAGCTACAAGACTACTAAATTCTTAACTGAACCACTACACAGGCCAGCGGTGGTCAAATTTTCCACAACTTAAAGTGGGTAATTATGACAAATTCAGTGAACTGAGCAATGTGCGCTTAGTTACAAGACTATCAAATTCTGAACTAAACTGCAACACAAGCCAGCGGCATGTAGTTGTGTATCTTGTCACAATCCTTTACCTAGTGAGCCAACGTGCATGGACTTTCTCATCAGCTCCATCTGCAGATCATGGAGCGACTCCTGGGCTTCACGGCATTCCCTGGTCTTGAGCTCGTTCTCCCTCATCAGATCCTCTAACAGCCTCCTGCACTCCTTCTCCCGCAGAAGCACACCATACTGTTGTTTCAGCAGGCCACAGCAATCGGATTTATCCTGCATTGATCATGGAAATTTAAGTTAGCTGCACGGTGAGCAGCCGCCACATTAATACATTATCCAATGTCTTGGAAATTTCTGGTGATGTGAATAACCTCCTCAATTTCTTCCGGTTGCAGGCTCTCTGAGTCGCTTCGGCCACCACCCACGGCCTCGCTCTCGGACACCCCACCCGCGGCATCGCATTTCTCACTAGAAGCCATCCCCTCAGCGGCGGCGCCAAGTCCCGCAGGCGCTGGCGGCGGCGGCGGCGAGACTGAGGTGGAGAAGAGCTCCATCGGCGCGACCCTGTGCCGCGCGGCGCTTCTCCGGATGTAGTCCGGCGTGTCCTGCAGCGCGCCCTCGCACGGAACGCCGCCGGAAAGCGACGACGAGCCGTCGCCGCCGCTGGCTGGTCCGAGCGCCCGCACCGCTCCCGCGGAGCCCGACGAGCCCGCCGGCGAACGCTCTGGTGGCCACCGCAGCGGCAAAAACAGAGATGAGAAATCGAGAGCGGCCAGTCGAGATCTGCGGAGAGAAACAGAGGAGCGGTGGCGGGTGGAATGGGCGCGTACCTTCGCCGGAGGAGCGGCCCTGGTCGGCGGCGTAGGGGATGATGAAGTCGCAGGCCTCGGACATCCTCACCGTCTTGGCCCTTCGCGGAGACGCGAAGGGCGCGAGCGCGACGGCCTTGGCGCGGTCCCCGTCCGGTCCCCGGCTCCGACCGCCGCTCCCCTCGTCCTCCATCTCACGCCACCTACCGAAATCAGTTCGGCGAGGAGGGAGGGGGGAACGGAAGGACGGCGCGTGCGCGGTGACGGCCGGTGACTGACTGTACTGATCACGTTGATCGCGTGACGGCGGCGCGGGCGGTGAGGGAGGGACGGAGGGCGGGGGGTTCGAATTTGGGGAGGCGGAGGAGTGGGATGGAGAGGGGTCGCGGGTCGGTCCCTTTGAATCGAGCGGCTGGGCGAGAAAGGAAAGCGACGATCCGAAGAGGGCGGCGGAGGAGGAGGCGACCGTTGCTCGGGGCAGGGTGCGGGCCGGGGCCCGGGGGAGGTTTTTTCGAACGGATTCGAAACGCGTCACGCGTGCGAGGCCATCGCCCCCATCGTCTCGTCGTGTGGTGTGGTCGTTAGAGTAACGCCCGCGGCGGGGGATGACGGGTGGACCCCTTTCCGGTCCGGAGATGGTGCTTGGGCCCAACGTCAGCGCCTCGTCGCCGCATTGAAACGTGCTCATGTAGGCTTGCGGTTGTTAGTTATCCCTACTGTAAGAGACAAATCCGAAATACGCTTAGTCTACCTAGGAATTTATCCCCACAGAGACGAACTTTCCTACATCTACCCAAGTTCGTGCACCCAAAACATCCCATCCTATAGAAATAAATGGCTCAGATCTATTCTCACGAAGCTTTGCCATCATCCCATGGCCAAAGTTGTTTCGGTGGCGAAGCCATGCTTCAACGCACCCGCCCGCGGGCTTCGGCCACGGACGGTCGCAACACGCAAAACCAAATCAGCGCCCCTCCCAAATTTGCTGCATGCAAAATCAATGCACTCCCAAATTAGCGGCACCCTTTCCTTCTTTTCTTTTCTTTCAGCAGCTCTCGCCGTCCATCAAATCGCATCGTCGCCGTGGACGCCAGCCTCGAGAACCCGTGCACGTCGCTTCGTCTCGCGGGTACGGCTCCGAGCTCCTCGGCATCGCCGCGTCGTTTTCAGAGGGGGGACGCTGCCATTGACGTAAAGGCCAGGAGACGCGGCAGCGGGGGGACCTGGACCAAGCGAGCACGACGGCCGCCGCAGTCGGGACCTCCCGTCCTCCATGGCCGGTGGAACTCAGGAGCAGGAGGCCGCCCAAGTTCCGATCCCCGCGGCTGAGCGTCCAGGGTGAGCGTGACCTCGACCGCCGCGCGTAACAAGGCTGCGGCCGATGACGTGCTCTGCATGTTCACCCTGTCCTGGATCTCCACCACCGAGCCTCGTCCTCTCACAAAGTTAGAGATGCAGCTCCAGCACCAGCTCCTCATCTTCCTCAACGAGGCATCCTCAAGGACGACCTCGGCGACCTCAGCGACATGCAGCTCCAGGCCACCGAGCAGCTCCAGGAACCCGACATTGTGGACGCCGCCGTGAGCGCGCAGGTGAGTACTAAGTAAAAAGAAAAAAAAAATCAGCAGCACCTTTTTTTCACAGAATGAATTATCCAGGGAGCTCAACGAGGGCGTGCAGGACCTCTTAAGGGATAACCATTGTAATGCTGCTGAAATTCTCAGTTTCGAGCCTTATTCAAAGGTTATATATCCTCTGTTTTGGATTTTGCTACCACTTCAAAGTCTAAACAGAAAACTAAGAATGATCATGGTAATAAGAAATAGAATATTTGGTTACCGTCCGATGTGAGAGTTAGGGAGTGATGTTGGAGAATTGTGTGTCGTCAGGTTCTGCTTATTCTTATGCAATTATAGTATTATCAAATGTTTGATTTATGAATTATAATAGGCTGTAGATTTCTATTGTTACATTTTGAAAGGATACACATTGATTTTGTCTTCCTCGTTTTCCTTTTAAGCCTGAGTCATGTACCCTGCAAGCACACAAAGAAGCCAAAATTAGGGTTATAACCCTAATTTAGCCTTGCTGTATTTTCCACATTGATTTTTCGGTGATGTAGCCCTGTAAAGGATTGCTCTCATTTACAGCTATACCTTAACTCACACAATTAATATAGCTACGCAGAAGAACTGTGCTAATTGCTTGGCAGTATGATCTTTGTAGATGCAATGTCTTGTCTCATATATGGTTTGCCTATGACAAACGCACATGAAAGAAGGTTTTTTTAATAAATTTTATCTTGTTTTGTATTTTATCGTAGCGTTAGCACGGACACACTACTATAAGAGAAAAGAGACGGAGGTGGCCTAGGCACTGACTCCACCCCACCTTGTCTGATTCCCGTCACAGGTCTGAATGAGCCCTTCTTCGATTTGATCCGTGGAGGCCTGATTTTTTTCTCGAATACGCACGAGTGTGCATATCATTGTATTAGAAGAAAGAGTTTATAATACAAGAGTTGCATTCCCGGCCGTTAGTTAGTTTTTCTGCGGACGCTACATTATGGAAAAAACAACAACCGTAATCCATGTCTATCCTGACAAGGACCTAGCCCTGCGCTAGGGAGGCCTGATTGGATCTGTAAGTTTTTGGAATTTTAAGGTTTGATCCATGGCATCGAAGAGGATCCTCAAGGAGTTGAAGCACCTTAAGAAAGACCCGCCCACCTCTTGCAGTGCAGGTGGTTTTTATTTAAGTTATTTTCTTAGAAATTCAAAATTACTTTCATAAGCTGTGTGGTTAATGGTTTGTGTTTGTTCCGTGTGGGTAATATAATGCTATCAGTCTTTTCTGTTTACTTCAATGTGGAAAATTAGTATTGTGATTCTAGATTCCTGAATAACTAAAATGCTGCACATTCGTTTGTCTTCATTTTTCTTTTTGGCCAAAAACCAGGAAAGCAAGTTAAATCAATACCACACATTCTTAGTGTATTTGTGATCAGGCAATATTTTTATGCCTAAATCAATACCATCAAGACAAGGTTTGCAAAAGAACCAAGTGCTGAATATTAAATTGAAGTAACACATATCTCCTGTTTTTGAGAAGCAACTATGCTGAATATCTTGGCATGGGACACAATTTCTGGTCACTTGTTATTTTGTGAAGTAAATAGAAAATAGCATTTTTTTTATAAAAGAAAAAAGCTTCCTGACTTTTGTGCCATATTTTTTCTCAGTTCTGTATGAAAGCAAATATAAGGTTTACACAATCAATCTTAGCGTTGAATATGGTCAGGCTGCATTGCTTTTTGCCATTGATATGTGGATTAAGGTCAGACTGCTCAACATCTTACTCTCTGCTATGCATATGCCAATTCTAAGAAGCTTGAAGATTTCTTACAGTTTCAGTAAAAGTATCTTCTCAGCTTGTGCCCAAATGCTTAACAACATAGCAAATTCATGGGTAATTCTTTTCACGGAAATTGCTCGAGAAAACAACCTTTTGTCAGTAATACTTAATGGTGGTGATAGACTTGATTGTTAGTTAATTATAGAGTGTATGCATGTGCTAACATTGAAATCATATTTTCATGAAGTTTTTAGTTCAAAGCATGAACACAAAGATGGTAATAGGGAGGCTTACCTGCCCGATATATATAGCAACTCAGCCTTGCTGAGCCTTGCACAGGAGTACATGATAAACCAATTTCCTGATAGCCAAGATTTGGTTCAGCCAAAATGATCAGGTAACTACAGAGTGGATTTTACTTGGCTCGGGGACTATTATGAGAGATACTAAGCTGCCATTTTGACTGAAATAACTCAAAACTGTATTCAGGCGAGCCAATAAAAAGGATGTCGACTTCAATTTTTAATGTTGCTTAAACTTTTTCCGACTTTGGTCATAAGATAGAATGTTTCTAGGAACAACCTTGATGAAAGCAGAATGAAGTAAACAATTGTTAGATTTGGGGATGAGGAATGATGTGCATAGGTCTTACAAAATGTTTGTTTATTACTTTTCATACGGAAAATTCCTATTCGAAGAAAGCCATTTTTTAAAATCAGTTTCAACTTTCAAACAATCTGTGCACTATTTGACTTATTATGCATGATTTCCATTTGAATATTATTTCCTATACTTGATCTTTGATGTGTAGGAGAATCATCAGAATCGTTCATGTCAAGGATCTCGAATAAATTAAGGACGGAGCAAGAGATCACAGTATGATTGTGCTGCCCTTAATTGGTTCACTTAATGGAAACTAGGAATATTCAGGAATTGGTTCCAGTCTGTTACATGATCAAACTGTATGAATGATAGGTTCAGTATGTCATGTCTTCGATATCATTGTTTTGGCGTTTTGGCAATGGTCCAGTAAATGCAATGCCTTGTCTGTGGAAAGACAGTGCAGTTTCATTTTATTCTTAACTATGGAAACGTATATAATAAATGTAATGCCTTGTTTTTATCTCTCGGTTCATGTCAAGTGACTTTGAAGTTTGTTTTTCCTGACATTCTCTGGGGTACCATTAGTTTATCCAATGTCTTATCGTGTTAGCAAAAGAACTTTCAGTGTTAAGTGCTATGGAAACAGCTTTGACAAAGCACAATTAGCTAAGTACTTTAAATTTTGATATAATTAACTTTGAACTTAATATGTCCTGTAGCGTTAGCACGAGCAATATACTATTCCTAGGAAGCCGGTAGCCCAAGCATGTCTCGCAGACTCGCACGCACTCACACAACGGGCCAAACGTACCAAGATTTTTTTTTATTATTTTTAACACTTTTTAAACTATTTTTAATTCTAACACTGTTTTTTTTTTAAAAGTAACACTTTTGGACGCGTCTGTTTGCATGGCGCGGCAAATTCACGCTGCCGCGCCATGCATGGTGGAGCGGCATGGGGCGGTCAACGACCGCGGCGACCGCTGACATGGCGGCTCCGACGCGTCGTGCATCATGGCACGGCGATGCTTTACTTACCCGTTGCGGCGCTGGCTCCCTCCCTCTGTCTGTCTGCCCGATTCGAGGTGAGGCCGCTCGCGGCTCCCGTGCCATTGCCTCCCGGCTCCCCCACGGCCGGCCGCCGACTTTCCCTCCCTTGCCGGCCCCCTCTCTACCTTTCCCGAAGCTCCTCCTCGGCCTCCACGGTGGATCGAAGGATTTGAATGAGTAGTTAGG